AGGATCAGATGGCGCTCGCCGTCATTTACCAGGCGATCTCGGAGGAGACGATGCTTCAACTCGCTGGCAAGGAGACTGCACGTGAGGCCTGGGAGGCACTCAGAACCATGCACGTTGGTGTGGAACGTGTGAAAGAAGTCAAACTCCAAGCACTTCGGTGGGAGTTTGAGAATCTGCGCATGGGCGATGCGCAGTCGGTGGATGAGTTCGCTACAAAACTCACTACCCTTGTGAACCAGATCCGATCTCTTGGGGAGACAATGGAAGAGAGCCATGTGGTGAAGAAACTTCTTCGTTGTGTGCCACCAAAGTTCTTGCAGATCGCCGCGACTATGGAACAGTTCGGCGATCTCAAGACCATGCAGGTGGACGAGGTGATTGGTGCTCTAAAGGCGCATGAGGAGCGCTACCGTGACTACGACAACCGGCACGAACAGGCGCTTCTAATAAGAGGGGATCCTAAACCCGACGCAAAGTCATCAAGGGGAAAGGAATCTTCTTTTCTAAACAATCGCGGGCATGGGCGTAGTAACGCACGCGGCCGTGGTCGTGGCCGAGGCCGCGGCAATGGAGGTCATGGCAGTAGCACCAGTACTCGCCAGGGAACAAACGGGGGTCGTGAAGGAGGCCGAGACAAGAGCACGATCAAGTGTTTCAACTGCAACAATTTCGGGCACTATGCCTCGGAGTGTCGTAATAAGCACCGAGACGAGGAAGCCAATCTCACCCGTGTTCAAGATGACGAGCCAGCACTACTCATGGCCGAGTGCGCGGGGGGCATGCACAACATGGTGTTGTTGAACGAGGAGAATGTTATTCCGAAGCTACAAACAGTCGAGAAGGCACCAGTCGGGTCTGACGTGTGGTACCTGGACAATGGGGCCAGCAACCACATGACAGGCCAACGATCTATGTTCAAGCACTTGGATGAGAGCATCCATGGGCAGGTGAAGTTTGGCGATGGCTCGATGGTGCAAATCAAAGGGAAGGGATCCATCCTATTTCAATGCAAGAATGGCGAACAACGACTACTACCGGAGGTATATTTCATACCAAGTCTTTGTAGCAATATTATAAGTCTTGGCCAGCTCTCTGAAGATGGAAGTAGGGCTGTTATGTGTGGAGCATTTCTGAGGATATATGACAGGAATGGGAAATTGTTGTTCAATGTCAAGAGATCCCCCAACAGGCTCTACAAAGTTTTGTTGGAAACTTGTGAACCTGTTTGTTTGACAGCAAGCATGGAGGATCCAGCTTGGTTGTGGCATGCGAGGCTAGGGCACGTGAGCTTCCAGGCACTCAAGATGATGGGAGATCGAGAGATGGCACACGGGGTCCCTAAGATTGATCATCCTACGCAGATTTGCGAGGGATGTCTTGTGGCCAAGCAAGCGAGGAATGCCTTCCCCTCCCAGGCGAACTTCAGAGCCGAACACCCGCTGCAATTGGTACACGCAGATCTGTGTGGACCAATAACTCCAGAGACACCCGCCGGCAATAGATATTTCCTCCTCCTTGTTGACGACTATAGCCGGATGATGTGGGTGTACATGATCAAGCAGAAGAGTGAAGCATTTGGGGCGTTCAAGAAGTTCAAGACATTGATCGAGAAGGAGGTTGAGCACAAGATAAAGGTGTTGAGAACTGATCGTGGTGGCGAGTTCTTATCCCGACAGTTCACAACTCTGTGTGAAGATGAAGGCATCCAGCGGCACTTGACAGCGCCCTACACGCCACAACAAAACGGCGTTGTTGAACGAAGAAATCGTACTGTCTTAGAGATGGCAAGGAGCTTACTAAAGAGCATGTGTGTGCCTGAAACTAGGAATGCCTTCCCCTCACAGGCTAACTTCAGAGCCGAACACCCGCTACAGTTAGTGCACGCGGATTTGTGTGGACCGATAATACCGGAGACACCCGCCGGCAACAGATACTTCCTCCTCCTTGTTGACGACTATAGCCGGATGATGTGGGTGTACATGATCAAGCAGAAGAGTGAAGCATTTGGGGCGTTCAAGAAGTTCAAGACATTGATCGAGAAGGAGGTTGAGCACAAGATAAAGGTGTTGAGAACTGATCGTGGTGGCGAGTTCTTATCCCGACAGTTCACAACTCTGTGTGAAGATGAAGGCATCCAGCGGCACTTGACAGCGCCCTACACGCCACAACAAAACGGCGTTGTTGAACGAAGAAATCGTACTGTCTTAGAGATGGCAAGGAGCTTACTAAAGAGCATGTGTGTGCCTGCAAAGTTGTGGGGGGAGGCAGTGAGGCATGCTGTCTACATACTAAATCGAGTACCGACGAAAGCCTTGACTGGCAAAACCCCCTATGAGATGTGGACTAGCAGGAAACCTCATCTTGAGCACCTGAGGGTTTTCGGGTGCACTGCACATGTTAAGGTGCCAAACGTGTTCACTAAGAAGCTCGATGATAGAAGCACTCCCATGGTGTATCTCGGTGTGGAAGCCGGGAGTAAAGCTCATCGTGTATACGATCCACGGCGCAACAAGTTGTATGTGAGCAGAGATGTTGTGTTTGATGAAAATAAGAGATGGGAGTGGGATGAAACAATCAGCAATGATCCAGAAAGTCGGATAACATTCACTGTTGAGAAGGGAGGTGAATCATGCCAGCCGGAGCACGAGCAGCAGGAGGCCGTTTCTCCACCCCTGGTGTCAAATTCACCCATACTTGCATCTACAGCGAATACTCCAGACCACGACGTCGCAGGTGGCGATAATGTGGATCAGCCGAGCGTGGCAATTCCAACGACACCGACAACTCCACCAAGCGCTTCCCTGAGCTCTAATGATTCATCTTCTGATGATAGGCCAAGGCGTTATCGTGCTCTCAATGAAATTTATGCTGAAACCGAGGAGGTCGAGTGTGAGCACGAGCTATTCCTTCTCGCCGCCGAGGAGCCGGTGACGTACTGCGAGGCTGCTAAAGAGAAACAGTGGCTGATGGCGATGCAACAAGAAATTGATGCCATCGAGAAGAACAAGACTTGGTTCTTGACCGAGTTGCCACCAGGACATAAGCCCATTGGAGTTAAGTGGGTGTACAAGCTCAAGAAGGACTCGGAAGGAAATGTGGTGAAGCACAAGGCAAGGCTCGTCGCAAAGGGGTACGTGCAGCAACAAGGCATTGACGTCGAAGAGGTCTTTGCGCCAGTAACAAGGATGGAGACTGTGAGGTTATTGCTCGCTATCGCAGTTCAACGAGGTTGGGAGGTTCATCATATGGATGTCAAGTCAGCCTTTTTGAATGGCGACCTCCAAGAAGAAGTGTATGTGTGCCAGCCGGAGGGGTACATCAAGAAGAATCAAGAAGACAAGGTGTACAAATTATCTAAGGCGCTCTACGGGCTGCGACAAGCACCTAGAGCGTGGAACATGCGACTGGATAAGAGTCTGAAGAGTCTCGGTTTTGAGAAATGTCCACAAGAACAGGCAGTCTACAGGAGAAACAAAGATGCAGAAACTCTTGTGATCGGTGTCTATGTTGATGATCTGATTGTTACTGGTACTAGTGCACAAGAGATCGAGCAATTTAAGCAGCAAATGATGAAAGAGTTTGAGATGAGTGACTTGGGACATCTTTCATACTATCTGGGCATTGAAGTGGAGCAAAGAAATCAGTGCATCTCACTGAAGCAAGCCTCATACGCCAAGAAAATATTGGAGCTAGCAGGTATGAGTGATTGCAATCCCACAAAATGCCCGATGGAGCCCAAGCTGAAGCTTAGAAAAGAAGAAGGAGGAGAGCTAGTGAACCCAACCAAGTACAGGCGTTTGATTGGAAGTCTAAGATATTTGCTTCACACCCGACCGGATCTGGCCTACGCTGTCGGGATGGTGAGCAGATATATGGAAAAGCCACGAAGTTCACATTTCCAAGCTGTCAAGCAGATACTGAGGTATGTGAAGGGGAGTATCAACTTTGGCCTGTGTTACACTAGGGGAGGAGATGAGAATTTAGTAGGGTACAGCGACAGTAATCTCGCCGGTGATGTTGATGACAGGAAGAGCACAAGCGGATTGGCATTTTACTTCTGCGGGAATTTGATATCTTGGGTGTCGCAGAAGCAGAAGAGCGTGGCGTTATCATCATGTGAAGCCGAGTTTATGGCAACCACAGTAGCAGCTTGCCAAGGCATATGGCTGAGGGCATTGTTGAGCGAAGTAACTGGACGAGATCCTAAACCAATCACCCTCTACGTCGACAACAAATCAGCAATTGCGTTGATGAAGAATCCAGTGTTCCATGGGAGGAGCAAGCACATCGACACGCGTTTTCACTTCATCCGTGAGTGTGTTGAAAAGGAACTGATCGTTGTTGGGCATGTGAGCACAAATGAGCAACGTGCAGATATCATGACCAAAGCACTTGCCAGAGTAAAATTTGGAGAAATGTGCAAGCTACTTGGGGTCAGAAACCTTGAGTTCCCACGTCAAGATTAGGGGGAGTATGTTGGGAAATAATCCTGACGTATGTGTTTGTTTGAGTCATTAGGAGATTGTTAAGCAGTTGAGATTTAGGAGACTGTTAGAAGTTGAGATTTGTGATTAGGAGATTGGAAGTGGTTGTGATTTATCATTAGGAGTTTGTTAGGTAGTTGATTTGAGTTAGCTATTTAATCACTGGGTTGTACGCTGTTTTTGATGAGCAGTGGAGTTTTTGTTTCAATAAAAATATCTTGTGTGCATTTTTCTCCTGCTCCTTCAATCAGGAGAACACGTATGAACGTGTTGTTCTTTGAGTGTTCCAGGTGAGTGAGTTGCTTCTTTAAGTGTTTCAGGTGAGCGTTTTAGTTCTACAAGAACAGCCCCTAAAATGGCTTAACACTTAAAATGGAAATTATGAAATATCTTCACATAAATATGAAGAGGAAAAAAAAAACCTAAACAATAGAAGCACCCATAGTTGAATTTGAAAAAAGAAGGGGGAAAAACATAAGAAATCCCTGCCCAATAAAACCCACCCTCTTGTCCTCTCCTCCCCTCACTTCAAACAGAAGCAGCCTGCTTCAACTACAACAAAACACTCACAAAAAGTGTTGGCTAAAATTTCTCAAAGACATTGGAAAAATGAGAGGAGGAGGAAGAAGAAGAGCCAGCTCTCTCTTCTCCTATTCCCTCTAAACCCACAAGAGCCCGAAGCAATGGCAGCTCCCTTTGACCCCCTCTTTTGCCCTGAAGAGCCCTTCATCGAAGAACTCTATGAACCCAATGTAGAAAGAACTCATCTTTTTGAACCCAACTCGGACGCAGACGAATTCCTCTCCTCTCTCCTAACGAACGAGCAAAAACCTCAAAACTTCACTAATCTCAACGACCCATATCTCCTCTCAGCGAGAAACGACGCGGTTCAATGGATCAAAACCACAAGCTCAAGATTTGGGTTCAATGCGCTCACCATTCTCTTAGCAGTCAACTACCTCGACCGCTGCTTCCTCTGCTCCGCTGGACTACGATTACAGCAGGACAAGCCGTGGATGAAGCAGCTCTCTGCGGTTGCTTGCCTCGCCCTCGCCGCTAAGGTCGAGGAGACACGTGTCCCGTTCTTGTTGGACCTTCAGATTCCGCCGGCGGCGGAGGAAGTTGCCGGGTTTGTGTTCGAAGCTAAGACCGTGAGGAGGATGGAGTTGCTGGTTTTAACTACGCTCGGTTGGAGAATGAATCCGGTCACCGCCCTGGATTTTATTCAGTGCATTTTGCCAAAGTTGAAGGATTGTGATGATGATACTGCTGTTGAGGTCTTGAGGAGCTGTGAGCATGTTCTGGCCTCAGTTTTATCCGGTGGGTTTTTGTCAAAATGCGATCTTTTTTTGCTTTTTGTTTGAGGTTTCTTATCATCCTTGTGGTAAAAATTGGATTTTTATTTGCTAATTAGATTGGAGATGGGTTCAGTTCCCCCCCTCTGTTTGGGCTGCTGCTGCAACGATGCAAGCAACGGGGGTGCATTCTGATGCAATGCAGCACATTTTTGACCTGCTTCAGGTCTCCAAGGTTTGATTTTGATTCTTACTCGTTCTCAGTTCAATCAGCAATTTACGAAAACTGATCGCTTTTATGAAATTTTTTGCAGGAAAATGTTGAGGAGTGCCGTGGGCTCATTGTTGAATTAATGGGTAATGGGTGCAATAAGAGGAAGAGTTGTTGCTTAAACCCACCGAGCCCAAATGAGGTGATTGCTTCATGTTTTAGCTACGAGAGCTCATCGAGCTTAGATTCATGGCAAGTGTTGCCCTCATCAGTTTCCTCGTCTCCTGATCCAAATTAAGAGACCCAACCGTTCCATTATCTGAATTTTAGTCTTAATTAATTTGTCACGATTAAGATTCTTAATGGGAGGAGGAATTGGGCTCCATCTCTTGCTGAGCTCTGGGGACCAAATTTTGCTTTGATGAATTGGGCGATATGAGGAAGACAGAAAAGAGAGCAGAGAGGCTAGAGAGTAGAGAGAGAGAGAGAGAGAGGGCCTTTTTCTTTTCTGTTGAAAAAATATATATTTATGTATTATTGTATTCTGTGTGATGTCCTGTCAAATGCCATCAATGCCTTTGTGTTCAATTCTCTCCTCAATCAACTCGTATATTTATGAGCGAAGGCACACATTTTTGGCTTGTGGATTCAGTTGCTATTCCATATGGGGGAGCTTCATTAAATTGCGAGGGTAGATGCTACATTTGAGTGCATAAAGATCAAGGGAAAAAATTTCATAAACATCTCGAATGGTAAAAGATTTACTGTAACTTGCATGGGTAAGTTTGATTAATCCCCTGTCATTGCAAAAGTTTCCTCGATGACTCATCGTCATTCTCATTGTACGTTTGCTCAAAAGCATGTTTTATATAAATAACTAATCGTTTTAAGTAAAGTTATGGAACTACTTCACTGTAAAAGATTTGATGTAATTGAGTTTTCCATTCACATTACATCTCTGAAAACTCTCATAAAGAACTAAAATTTCGAATTGCAGAGTTTCGAAGGCTTACATGCAAGTAACTCTGCAATAGGGAGTTATTCAGAAGTTCTCCATTCTTGATGGAATTTAGAGAGATTTAGTTTATGCTTGTAGTGTTTCCCTGTCAGTTGGGTGTTGGCCACTGAGATCGATAGAGGTGTGATTTTAATAACCCAATTGTTTAATTAGAAGGATTTTGTTTTTACTTTAGTAGGGTTTGACCTCTGGCACAATTGGGAGAAGGGAGCTCCTTGATGCTCAAAACGCACAACACCTACTACACTTGGACTTTTTGAGCGTGGAGTGTTACCAAGGGTAGATTAAGTCCTTAAAAAAAAAGACAATGGGCTAAGTGCTCTTAGATACTAACAGACAAACACAAGATCACTGCTCATGTGCTGCTTTCTGATCACTTTTGCTTCTCCAAAATTATTTTAAGTTGATCATTGTTCTTTTCTTCTTTGTAAATATTAGTGTAGAGAAATGTTCTCTTAAAGCATCTCCAACCCAAAAACTCAAAATAGTATAGTTTTTACACTAAGTTGGTGTAGTTTTTACACCGAATCACTATTTCATCTCCAACCCATTACACCAAATTTTACACCAAAAAGAATATTCATTTTATGATTCTTATCTTCTAAAATTTTTATCTATTTAAAATATTTAACAAATTATATATTATATAATTATATAATACATTACATATAATTAATTATAATAATATATTTTATGAATAAAATACAAATATGAAAATAATGCTTAATCAAGTTAAAATATTACTTTCATAAATTTATGTGCTAATTTATGTGTAATTTTTTATTATAATACAACATAAATTTATTATTATAAAATATATTATTAAAATATTATTATGTTGTATTATTATTTGTTATAAAAATAATATAAATTTAGAATTAGCACATATATTTTATGAATTAGCACATAAATTTATTATTAAAGAAAATGATAATACAACATAAATTATTGTGTAATAAAAGGGATATTTAATTAATTATGTGCTAAGTTATGTTGTATTATTATTTTTATCTAAATAATTAAAAAAATAAAAGGCTAAAAATAAATTAAAATGATGCACCAAAGCTACAGTGCTGTGCCAAATTTGGTGCAGCACTGTAGCAGTTATCAAAATAGCGTGAGTTTTAGAGTTGGGTTGGAGGGATAAAATCGCGTCAAATTGGGTTTTCGCGTCAAATAGCCTCTCCGTTGGAGATGAGATGCTCTTAGGGGTTGATTGGTTCAACAAAACTTTTATCACTTGAGGTGGATTTGAATTTCTTGAGTAAAAAGTGTCTCATTTTCATTTATGGGATTCCATATAGAATCTCTTTCAAAAAAATTTAACATTAGGTATCCATAAAATGGAAAAAAAGTAACTTTTGGGATTTGCTAAATCCTACAATTTGGAGAGTTTTCTGAATGCTAAAAAATTAAAGTTTTTGACATTATATATATTCACACATTTGCTTTCCTCAAATCAATTTGAACCAAACAAAAGATTAGAAATTTTAAAATATGTTTAAAATACGCGGACTTAAAATTCTTGATGAGAAACCAAATCCTATAATTTTAGCATTTGAAGCAAATAGCCTCCTAGCTAGCAAATGAGGCTAGATTTAAGAGTATAGAGGCCAATAGGATCCTCAAAAGAATATCTAATGCTTATGTGATTCACAAGATTGATTTTATTAGAGTAGTACATGAAGCATTTTAGGTGTGGTCATTTGAAAATTTTGAAGTCCTTGGTGAGCTCTGAAGTAGGTAACATTGATTTGACCAGCCACAGCCACTGGGTAGAAAGTAAAGGGTAGAAGTATGGTGGTCAAAATCAGCCTCTGTTTACAGTTTTACTGCTTCACCTTTCTGTAGTACAACATTGATGCAAAGGCTCTGCTTCCTCTTTTGTAGGCTTTGATGATTCCATTCTAATCAATCATATGATACGTGCTCAATTCTCAAGTATAGAACTAAGTTTTTCTCACTTCATCATCTTGTTGTTCTTCGGCGAAAATCAGTGTGATCGGTGGCAAAATAGCAATGCATTTGATCGATGCAGTTTCACTTATTGACCGAGAAAGGAAAATGTTGATGACTCATTAGGAAGAGCAAAGGTCTATTTACCGGCTGGCCAACTAATAAGAAATTGCTACATTCATTTGCTCATGCTTTTATCTGAAAAAAAATTCTCCAAGTCACTACTCTTATTTCTGCTTAATAAAAAATAGTGATCAACATATATGCTCCTCATAAAAAATTAAAGCTTTAGGGGCTGTTTGGTTGCACACTTTTTGAGAAAACTTTTCTCAAAATATCTGACAATGGTAAATTTGTAATTAAAAGTTTACCAGAGATTTCTGTAAATTGTGTTTGGTTCAACAAAAAAATTACAGAAATATTTTCTATAAAATATCAAAACCTACCAAATTTTACAAAAAACAATTTCCTCTAAAAATGAGAGGAAATCACCAAAAATCTGACACATACCATATTTAATTAAAAACCTACCAAAGCTTGTTATTTTCTATAAAGTTATGAGCTATTTTCTTGTTTTGAACCAAACAAGCAAAGTACAAAACAAAGAAAATTGGTACTTTTTTATTTCTCAAAACTTTTCCTATAATTTTTTTAAGAAATACAAGGAAATCATATTTTAGATGGAAAACATTTTCTATAATTTCTAGAAATTGAACCAAACACCCCCTTAACATAAACAATATTGAAAACCTTGCTTGTGCTTGGTAGTGAGGTGTCATATTCCCCTCAACTCATTGAAATCGGGGTCCACATTCACATGGGTACCAAAGATAAGTTTGTGTTTGATAGTAAGGTGACATATTCTCCTCCATTCATTAAAATCGGGTCCGACATTTACATGTGTTGGGGAGTGGTAGTGAATTGGAATAAGTGTATGGAAATATGACACCTCACTACCAAGCACTTTGTGAATAAAAGCTCTTTGTCTATTAACTTTTTTGTCCGTTGTTTTTGCATTGAGACTTGTGCTAGCATTTGATACAAATAAATGCACAAATATCAAAGATAGCATTGATGTGTAACACAAATCTTAAAACATAACTAAGAGATAAAAAGTTTGGTAGCCAAGTGCGCCTATCCACTTAAGTTTATAGAAGCTTTATCCATATTTTACGAAGATAGTATACATTTATTTATTAATCTATAGAAGGGAAATCAAACTCATTGAGGTGCCAATGTGTCAAGCAGTAGTTAGGTCCTATTGAAGATAAATTTTTTTTCCCAACAGGCCGGCGGGTCGTCGAAGAAGAAAGGAAATCATAGATCCTTGAGTTTCTTTACTTCCTTTGAGAAAAAGAAATAGTAATTAATCTTTAAAAAAATGAAAAAAAAGAAAAACCTGCATCAAGGCCAAGGCTCCAAATCTAGTGAAAGTCCAACCTCGTTGACTATAGCAGGCATGTGTAATTTCAGGAATAAAACACATCTAACCTCAAAATGAAAAGGAAAAAGGAAGAATAGATCAGCTAGCACATCCAAGAGATAAGAAAACATTAATCAGTAGGTACTAATTAATATACACTGTGCATGCATTAGTTGAGAGAGTTGCTGGGTTGATAATGAGCCAGGAGTCGAATCTATATGTTTTTCAATGTCACCTCCACCCTGACAAGAGATTATAAGTTTAATTCCCACTACGATGCAAATATTTATAATTCATATCAACGTAGCTAATATTATATTATCACATGCGCTGAAAATGGTGAAGGTCGAGAAACTGAGAAGGAAACAAGAACTCAAAAAGAAAAGCAACAAGGAAACAAAAGACGACATCCATCACTCATCAAAAGTCGAAATAGGGTTTGAAAATTTGTAGCAAGCCTTTGATTTTGAGCTCTTTGTTGCTCTGCTTTGCCCCCCTTGGCCCACACAATTATTTGTGTATAATATATATGACGGCAATCTCTCTTTTTTTTTTTTTCCTTGATGCGATCGATCTCTTCTTTTTCTTTGACTTGGTCCTCCATAATATACTCTCGTCTCCTCACCCAACTACATGGATAGTGTAATTAATCAGCTTAAATATTTTTGAACTTTACCTAAAACATTACTTCATCTATATATCTACCTTTTGAAAGTGCTTCTTTTGTTATGCAAAGTGATTTAAATTTTTTTTTCTTTGCCCCTTATATCTAATTTGGTTTTTCATATCTCTGAAATTAATTAACCTCTCAAATTGTTTCAACTTACCATGAGGTCTACCAATTCCGAAGTCATTTTAAACTAGTCTATGAAATCTTTGACATTACTATTAGATCCTCACATTCTCACGAGTTACTACAAGTTAATATCTCCAATTGGTACTTACTCTTATTTCGATTTAATTCCAGCGGCTGCTTCTACTCTGGATAGGAGGAACTAACTTGAAATAGAATATCGGAATTGGGGGACTTAATAACAATGTCAATAACTTTAGGGACTAATGTTGAAATACCTTGAAGGATGTATAAAGGAATATCCTTTTTCCTAATTATATTGTAACACAAATATAATAGAAACTGGTTCTTTTACCATCTTTCCCTTCAAATTAAGATATGATACAGGACGCAACTAATATGAGAATAGCCGTAAAGAAAAAGAGTCATTTCTCTCTAGTCTCTATATATAGAATATATACCCGCCTACACTTTCTTCAAAGATTCACTGCTATGAACTTAGAGAGTTTGCTATAGGGACCCAAAATATGAGACCAATAAAGGGGACAAGTGAGGTGTCCCCATCTTATTGGATAATGAGTTGACCATCATTAATGATGACCAATTCATTATCCAATAGGATGGGGACACCTCACTTGTCCCTTTTATTGGTCTCATATTTTGGGTCATTAAAGATTTTTTCCAATTAAAAAGAGTGGAGCTAGGCTACTATACACTCCACTCGTATTTGTCATTGAAGAGTATATTCTCTAATGAACTAAAATTAATCACTTACTATCTAGCTCACTTATAAACCATAATAATTAAACCAACCCCAGTAACAAAATTTCCTCAATACGGGACTGATTAAATTCATTTGGGGGGAAAAAGAAGAGCTCGAAACATCAATTTCTAGCAAGTACTAGCAAACAATCATGATACGGAGTGTACCGTGGGGACAAATAATATTGCACGAATCTTGAAACCCCAATGGAGCCAAAAAGCAACAACAGTTGATATATATGCGTGAAAGCGTGGGTGGATGGATGGACAAATTAAGAAAAGGGTGGCATGCGGGGCAACGGACCACCGCCGCGTGCTCTAGCTAGTTGCATGGCTCTATTGTGCGCAAGCCGCGTACTGTTGCTGTACGTGTCACTGTTTGTAGCGGTTGTCTTTGAGCTGAGATGCTCCAATATTGATTGGTGTAGAAA